GGTCTCGCCAAGTTGCCCAGGCGGGTCTCGAACCCGCGGGCTCAGGCAATCTGCTCACCTCGGCCTCCCAAAGCGCTGGGATGACAGGCTGAGCCACTGAGCCCGCCCTCTCCCTCTTTCTCACGCTGCCGTGTCTTGCTCTCCAGGCAGCTAGTGTCTTGCTTTTGTCATTCAAGCTTTGTCTTGGACATCGTTCCATGCCAACACATTCTTTTTTTCACAGCTGCTTCCCTCTCTACCCCCCCGCAGAATTTTAAACTCATCCTGAACACCAAGGACTTCCCTCCTTGGTCCAAGTCAAATGTCTGCGGCTGTGATTTTCCCTTCTCCATGAGTCTGGTCCCTGGGGACCTGGGGACGCGGAGGCTTGGGTCTCCTCCTCACTCGGGGTCAGGTTTCTGACATGATGGGGTGAGGGCCCTGGCCCCCGCTAGAGAAGGGGCAGCCAGACCAGACCATGCAGCAAGGCGCTTGCCAAGGAGTTGCCATCCTGCGGGCCCTTTAGGCAAACACGAGAGCCCTTTTTCTAGAATGGTGAGTCACACACCTTGTTGGGTTGAACAGTCCCACTTGGATGCAGCTGCCTCCTTTCCTCCCAGCTGTGGGTTTATTTGCTTCCTCCTCTGAAGAGGTGAGGTAAGGTGTTGTTCTTGGAGGAAGGCAGCCAGAGTGGATGGAGACCGGCCCGTGGGAGCCGCTGCCAGAGGATGAGTCTGCAGTGGGCGGGGGCGGCGGCCCCCGGGCGGAGCAGACGCATCTGAGCCCGCGTGGGGTCCGGCTGCCCTGCTGGCTGGCTCTGGGACCCTCTGACAGTTGCCGCACAGAGGAGAGACCTGTGCCCTCAGAGCCAGTGAGCTGGGCTTGTCTCCTTGCCACTGGAGACCTGGTGAGTCGTTGGGCTTCATGGAGACTTAGGCTCCTCAGGTGGAAAGAGAGGATGAAAACAAATCCCTACAGGCTTGCAGTGAGCATTCAATGAGGCGATAGAGGAGATCGTTATCTTGGTGGTCAAACACTGCCCAGTTGACCCGTTGATCATTAACTTTTCTGCATCAAATGAAGACGTCGAGGTGACCTCGCCTCGAGTGCCCAACTAGCAGTTTGGAGTCCTGTCCCCGGACCTCCCTGAGCCTCAGTTTCCCCTCCTGCGGAGCGGCTGGAGTGGGATCGGGACTGACAGGGTTCTCGTCCTTCCCACAGGGCCTGGCTGCCTGCCCCGCCCACGCGAGGGAGCTCCGGGCTGCTTCCCTCCGGTCTCCGGTCTGCGCCCAGCTCCAGGACGGGCAGGCCTTCTGGCAAAGGCTGCCCCCGAGACGCCTGCGGATGCTCGTCTATTCCTGCCTCCTCGGAAGCATGGCACCCACAGGCTTCCAGGACCAACCGTAGACCCGAGTCCCAGGGGCCCCCCGTGACTCACAAAACAGTCCCCCTGGGCTCCGGCACCCCCCAGCCTCCAAGGCCAGCTTCCATCCAGCAGATGCCTTCGGGGGCCCCACCCCCACCCCCACCCAGATGAGGCCGGGCCAAGGCAGGACCCAGCCGTGCTCTTCACCAAGTCCACCGCCTCCCCGGTCCGGCCGCCAGGACAAACCGTAGGATGTCTGTGCCCCAGATCCGCGTAGAGGAAGCGGGCGGGGAGGAGGGGGCCGGAGCCGTGGCGCCGCCCGACGACCACCTCCGGAGCCTGAAGGCCCTCACCGAGAAGCTGCGGCTGGAGACCCGCAGGCCCTCCTACCTGGAATGGCAGGCCCGGCTGGAAGGGCAGACGTGGCCCTTCCCACGGCCGGCGGCGACCGTGGGGCCAGAGACGAGCTTGGCGCAGGAGGCGCGTGGGGCGGAGGAGCCCTTACTGCCGCCGAGAGAGCCCAGGCAGCATCCCTGCCCGGCCAGGAGTGCCAGCCCGGGCCCCGGGCCCCAGTCTGCCGGCAAGCTGGAAGGCTTTGAGAGCATCGATGAAGCTATAGCCTGGCTCAGGAAGGAACTGGTGAGTGGCACCCTCCCCTGTGCCCCCAGAAAAGAGGGGATGCCGCTTTCTCTGTCTTTCTGCCTCTCTGTCTTTGTCTCTGTGTCGCTGTCTTTCCTCTCTGACTCCTCTCCCCCGTCGTGTGCTCCTTCCCCAATCCCTACCCTCAGGTGCACATCTGAAACTCTCCCATGAGAAGGGCAGACCTCGTTTTTCTGAGGTTTCAGGGGACCTGTGTGCCAATCAGCCCCTAATCACAGACACGAACGGAGGAAGCGTGTTGCCCAGTTAACGTGTCCCCTCCCTCCCCTGGACACCATCCCAGCACTGGAGGGTCGTAAACTTCTCCCTGAACTGCTGAGGGGGTCCTGGAGTGTAACCGGCCCCTCCCTTCTCCCAGGAGCCTCCCCACCCTGCCGTCTGCCCCAGCTGCCTGCCGCCCCCACCCCCATTCCCCCTGTGGCCACTCATTCTGCAAGTGAGTGGCCGGTCCCCCCGCGCCAGGGGCTAGCTGGATGGCAAAGCCTCTTAGGGGGCGGCCAGGTGTGGCAATGCAGGGGCGCAGTGTGGACCGTGCTCCATTAATAAGGAGTTATGCGAGGAGCCGCCCAGGGCCGGCAGGACGGGTCCTGCCTGGGGAGAAGCTTTGTGAGGAGGCTGAGTAGGAGTGCGCCCAAAGCCAGGGTGGGGACAGGCGTTCCAGGTGTGAACAAAGGGCATGTGTGTTGGAGCTGGGACGGCAGCGTGACCATTCTGCCCACGGCAAAGCAGATTCCCATCAGGAATGCCTCCTGCCCGATGCTGTACAGCCTAAGGCAGGGGTGGGGGCGGAGCTGAGTGTCCTGTCCCTCCTCTCGTCCCCCCTTGCCCCTGAGTGGGGATGGGGGGAGCAGCTGGTGTCTGTCATGGCGGCTTCTTGGCAGCGACGGGCATGAGGCCACCCCTCCCCCAGGTCTCAACCTTGCCCCACGCTGAGGCCCGGGTGACACCTGTTTGCCGAGGCAGGGCACTGGGGACATGGGTGAGCCAGTGGTCATGGGCCAGCTGTCCTGCAGAGCCGGCTATCACTCTTGGGCCACCAAGTCGGCAGAGACCCGCTTGGTTTGTTTGGCAGAATCCTGAAAAATAACTCCCCACTGGGGCCTGGAACTGGAATAAGTCACTGGGGTTCGAGGTGGGAAGGGGCTTGGGGACTCTGGTATCTGATGAACTGGAAACCTTTTGGGTTTTAATCCTCGACATTGAGAATGCTTCTCAGAACACACTGTTCCATCGTGTCTGTCTTCAGCAGCCGGAGCGGGTGTGCCACTGTCGGCTTTCAGAGAAGACAGGGCACCTGTGATTTCGCTGTGCGTCCCTGCGGTCCTCTGTCACCACTGGGTGCCCCTGGTGGCAGAGGGGTGTGAGAGGTTAGGGGAGATGGACATGTAGGGTCCGAGCAGCTCCCGGGCTGCTTTTCAAATTCCTGAAGCTGAACTGCTTTGATGTGTGTCCATAAAGAGGAACAAAAAAATCCCTGTTGGTCAAGGATGCAGTGTGTTGGCTTTGGGTTCATTTGAGATCTCACTGCTTCTGGGGGCTGAGGATTTCATATTCTGGGTCTGGAAGTGGGGGCTAGTCTGCCCCTGCCTCCTATCAGGCCAGCTGAAAAGCAGAGTGACTGATCTTGGCTTACTTCCAAGGAAGGATCTTGACAGCTCCCTCAGGAGTCAGCTCTCCCTGTCAGCTTTGGAGGAAATGACAGTCACTCCTGATGTCCCTGGGGACCTGCAGGTAGATGAGATTTTCCTCAGCCTCTGAGTGAAATTAAAGAAGGATGCCTCCTCTGTGTGTAAACCAGTAGGGAGATCCCTGGAGCTTGTCCTGATCATCCTTTAGACAGAGAGGTGCCTCTTACCTGGCTGTGTACTAGAACCACCTGGGCAGCTTTTAAATCTCCCGAAACCTGGACCACACCCCAGACTGAGCAAATGAACATCTGGAGGGTCATACTTAGCATCTGTGGTGGGTTGTTTTGTTTGTTTGTTTGTTTTGAGTCAGGGTCTTGCTCTGCGACCCAGGCTGGAGTGCAGCGGCAGGATCACGGCTCACCACAACCTTGACTTCCCAGGCTCAGGCAATCCTTCCTCCTCTGCCTCCTAAGTTGCCAGGACTACAGGTGTGCCGTTCCTCCTCACACCACCACACCTGGCTAATTAAAAAAAAATTTTTTTTTGTAGAGATAAGTTCTTGCTATGTTGCCTGGGCTGGTCTCAAAAGCCTGGGCTCAAGTGAGCCTCCTGCCTCAGCCTCCCAAAGTGCTGGGTGTGAGCCATTGCACCTGGCCCATCCATGGTTTTTAAGGCTCCCACATGCTCCATGGTGCATCCTGGACTGAGAGCCACGGCCTTGGATCTATGGGTCATGCTCATGTCTCCTGCCAGGACCCTCAACAGCACAGGGTGTCCTGCCCAGGGTGTGCTGGTCAGAGTAGGGGAGGCAGGCCAGGCTGGGAAACAGCCTTGGGCGTGTGCAGAGCCGTGCTCCAGGGGCCCACAGCGGAGCGGAAATTGTCAGGCCTGACTTGGCCACCAAAGGCTGTCTCATATAGGTCAAGGGTATATTCACATTATTAATGCTTTCTATCTGCAGAACACTTTCCACTCTCCCGGTGGGTCATAATGATCATTATTCTAGTGCGGTTTGTCACTAACTGGGGCTTACCATGTGCCAGGCACTTCGCACGCATTACTCACCTCTTCTAATTGCCCTGTCACCTTCTGGTACCCCCATTTCCCAGAAGAGAAAACAGGCTCAGAGAGGAATACAGCAGTACGTGAGAAAGTCAGCATTTGAACCCCTAGCCCACCTGGTCACATGGACAGTGCTCTGCTGAGCTGCCACATGACATGGCATCCTCCACAAGCAATCCATTTTGCTGTTGGATTCCGAAAAATGTAAATTCGCAAAGACATCAGCAGTCCATAGGGTGCCTGCAGGACAGGGCAGAGAGAGACAGGGTTGGATGAGAGGGTTCCAGCGTCATCCCATTATCTCTGATTCTTACCACAAAACTAGGCAATTGCTGCTATTGTCTCCTTTTGCAGATGATAAACTGAGGGCTGTAGCAGTCAGATGCCCTGCCTAGGCTGATAGGACTAGTAAGAGGCAGAGCCCGGGCTCAAACTCAGTCCAGAAGAGAGAGAGAGAGGGCGAGAGGGAGGAAGTGGGCTGGCACGGTGGCTTGACTCAGAGGGCCCTGTTGGGTATGCTCAAAGATCAGTGGCCAGGCGGCTTTACGTTCAGAGAAATTGCTCTGGCTGCAGGGTAGAGAAGCTCTCAGAGCAGTGACTTCCAAACTCTAATGTATGTGCAGAGTGCCAGGTTGAAATGAAGATTCTGGTCCCTTTGATCTGGGATGGGGTCTGTGGTTTGGATTTCCAGTGAGCTCTAAAGCGACCATACACTGCTGGTGCTTGAGTCACACTTTGAGTTTCACCGAATGAATGGTGGACAAGGCTGGACGCGGTGGCTCATGCCTGCAATCCTAGCACTTTGGGAGGCTGAGGTGGAATGATCGCTTGAGCTGGGCAACACAGTGAGACCTCGTCTCTACAAAAAAAATCAAAAATTAGCCCTGTGTGGCAGCACAAGCCTGTAGCTCCATCTACTCCGGAGGCTGAGGCAGGAAGATCTCCTGAGCCCGGGAGGTCAAGGCTGCGGTGAGTTGTGATCGTGCCACTGTACTCTAGCCTGAGAGAAAGAGTGAGACTTCAACTAAAAAAAAGAAAGGTGGGCAAGACTGGATCAGGAAACCAAGAAGGGACCTCAGAGGGCAGACCCAGGGATCCCCAAGCGACTCTGAGCCTGTCTCTGTCCTAACTGCCTGTGTGGTTCAGGGCTCAGTCGGCAGGTGTGCCTCGGCGAATGACCTCACAGCATCCCACACCAAAGGGTCCAAGAACCACATTCATTCGGAAGATGGCAGCTCTGAGGCCCAAGGCAGCCCAGGCGCAGCCAGGCAGGTAGGCAGGACATGCAATTCTGCCTGCTCAGGGATTAGACCGCAGTAAAGGCAACTTGTAAAACCCTTGACTGGATTGGAAACAGAAATCAGCATTTGGACAACAAGAACATTGTCCAGTTTTTCAGTTTCAGTCAAAACACAAAACTTACTGCCGTGGACTTCCAACTCCATCTTCTGCTCACTCGCTTTTAACCTAAAAGTGGTTTGCATAACCTTTGTTGCGTTTTAAGCACAGGATCAGTCTTCCCTGCTGACTTGTTAGGCTCGAGTGTTCGTCACTTCTTCTTATGTGGGCAAGGAACGAGACTGGAAGTCTGTAATTTCAATCACGGGGATGTTTTCCCTGCACAAAGCCAGAGACCCAATTTGATGGGAGTTTTGACCCTGGAGAGTACAGTCCCTCACCTGCTCTCTGACCACCTAGCAGCTCTCCCAGGAGGCAGTGGTCAGTGTCACCCCGTTCGGAGGCAGGCCACGCTGGGTCTGGAAGTGGGGGCTGACCTGCCCCTGACTCCTTAACAGACCAGCTGAAAGACAGAGCGACTGATCTTGACTTACTTCCAAGGAAGGATCCCGACAGCTCCCTCAGGGGTCAGCTCTCCCTCTCAGCTTTGGAGGAAATGACAGTCACTCCTGATGCCCCCCCCAGGGGGGACCTGCAGGTAGATGAAATTTTCCTCCAGGCTAATGCACGGGGTGAAGGTGAAGATCCTCAAAGCCTCTTAGTGTGACTCCTCCCGCTGAGAAGGCCTAACCTTGGGCTCCCAGGTGGGCTTAGAGAGGTGCCGCCCTCTGGCTGCAACAGGCATGGATGTGGCCTCTGCACTGGAGGCCTTGGGGGCCCCCCGCCCCCCCCCAACTCCTGCAGGCTGCGATCCAATCTCGATGTTCCCTGGACATCGAGACTCAGGGTTCAGCGAAGTGGCCGTTGTGCGGTTGCTGGTTCTGTGTTGCCGGAGGATCACAGCCTCCAATGCTCCATCTTCCAGGTACCCTCCGCAGATAGCCGAATGGC